CTACTAACTAGCAGCCCATGTGTTTTTTTATTTTTCTACAATCTCCCACTTGAAGATTTGATTGAAACAATCATATATTCACACCATTCTTTCTACCTTGTATCATCATGTTGCTTACGTTTCTGACAGGCCACAAGAGGATCGACACCAAGTAAATTTATCAGCATTGATCGCCTTCGTCATGAAATCTGCTATGTTGTCTTTGGTATGGATCTTCTGCATATCTACCGTCCCTTCTTCCACCTTTTCATGAATGAAATGATACTGAACTCGTATGTGCTTTGTCCTTGAATGAAATGTTGGATTCCTTGCTAGATGCAAGGCGCTTTGACAGTCATAAAACAGAGAGACATACTCTTGATTGTGTCCAAGCTCCTCCAATAGCATCTTCAACCATAATGCTTCTTTACTGGCTTGTGTAGCTGCTACATATTTTACTTCTGTTGTGGGTGTAGCCACTACTGACTGCAATTTTGAAACCCAGCTTACAGCTCACCATCAACTTTGAACACATATCCTGTAGTAGATTTGCTTTTATCCAAATCCCTTGCATAGTCAGAATCGACATACTCATTGATAAGTAAGTTTGATCCTCCGTAACATAATGCAACATTTGAGGTCCCTTTGATGTATCTCAGGATCCTCTTTACTGTATTTCAATGCTCTTTGCCTGGATTCGCCATGTACCGACTAACCACTGTCACTGCTTGTGTAATGTCTGGTCTTGTGCATATCATAGCGAACATTAAACTTCCCACTGCCGATGCATACGACACTCACGACATCTTCATCCTTTCTTCTTCACTGCTAGTACTCATACTGGAGGATAATTTGAAGTTAATAGGAAAAGGGGTAGAAATTGGCTTACAATCTAGCAAGTTGAATCATGACAAGATCTTCTTCAAGTAATTATTTTGTGAAAGCCAAATCTTCCTATTACTTTTGTCTCGGTGAATTTACATCCCTATAATCTTGTTTACTGATCCCACATCCTTCATTTCAAATTCCCTAGCCAGTTGTGCCTTCAATTTTTCAATATGATCTTTGTTGGGTCTTGCAACCAACATGTCATCCACATACAACAGCAATATAACAAAATCGTTATCACCAGACCTCTTGAAATAAGCACAAGGGTATGCGTTAAGTCTGTTGTATCCAAGGAACATAATGAAGGAATCAAATCTCTTATACCAACACATCGGTACCTGCTTTAGACTGTACAGAGATTTTTTCAACCTGCAAACCAAGTTCTTCTTTTCTTTTTCTTCAAAACCTTCAGGCTGGAGCATGTAAATCTCTTCTTCAATATTTCCATGAAGAAAATCTATTTTAACATCTAGCTGCTCTAGATGTAAATTTATTGTAGCACACATTGCCAAAACTACTCGAACTGTTGTTAGTCGAACCACGGGAAAAAAATTTCATTGAAATCAATACATTCTTTTTGAGCATATCCTTTGACCACCAGTCTTGCACGATACCTCTCCACTTGTTTGTTACCATTTCACTTGATTTTGAAGACCCATTTGTTACCAATTGGATTCCTTCCTTGTGATAGTGGCACAAGGTCTCATGTATTATTTTTATGAAGGGCTTCGATTTATTCTTGCATTGCCATCATCCATAGTGAAGCATCTGAGCTGTTTATTACCTCATGTTATGTTAATGGCTCATTGTTCTCTGTTAAAAGGCAATATGCAACATTTCATTCTATAAAATAATCTGAGTGCCAATTGGGACGTCTTCTCACATGATCTGATTGACGAGTTGTTGGAGCTTCAGAACTCTCTGGTTCTTGTTCATCATGTGATGGTTCTGATTCAGAAGAATCTCCTTGTTCAACCTCCTTGTCCACATGTATCTGTGTAGTCTCTGACTTTTCAGCGCTATCATCGTCTTCTTTTCTTTGTAGTTTATCTTCTACAAAGATAACATTCCTGCTAATGATCACTTTGCGGGAAGACCCTTTTACCCCATCATATCCCAAGAATTTGCATTTCCTGGATTTTGGATCCAGTTTTGAGATTTCTTGGGAGTTGTACATCACGTACACAATACTTCCAAATACATGGAGGTTTGAATAATCAGCTGGTTTACCAGTCCACATCTCCATTGGTATCTTCAGCTCTATTGCAGTTGATGGAGCTCGATTCACCAAATAACAAGAGGTATTGACTGCTTCTGCCCAAAATGATTTTTCTAGGTCTGCAGCCCTCAATATTGCTCTTGTTATTTCTAACAAGGTTATGTTCATCCGCTCTGCCACTCCATTTTGTTGAGGAGTGTTCGCCACTGTGAACTGTCTTTTGATGCATTCTTTCCTGTAAAAGTCATCAAATTCTTCGCTTGTGTATTCTCCTCCATTATCTGTTCTGAAACACTTGATCTTATTTCCAGAATCAAGTTCCACCCACGCTTTAAAGTTTTTGTAAGTTGAAAACACATTTGACTTCTTTTTAATAGGGTACACCCAACATCTTCTGGAGTAGTCATCAATAAATGAGACAAAATATTTTGCTCCACCTAGGGATGTATCTGGTGCTTGCCATACGTCAGAGTGAACCAATTCTAGAACACTTTTACCTCTTGAATTTGATGTGTTGAATTTCAGCCAATGTTGCTTATTTGTTATGCAATGCTCACAAAAAGTAAGTGATACTTTTGTTAAGCCTGAAAGTAGCTTTTGCTCCACAAGGACTTTCATTCCTTGTTCTGACACGTGTCCAAGTTTCTGATGCCATAGCATTGCAGAATCTGAACTACATGAGGCAACAAAGGCTTCTGCTTCTAGCAAAGTCTCTCCCTTCAGCATGTACAAATTTGCAGCTATCTTTTCGCCTTTCAGCACCATAAGCGCTCCACGGAACACCTTCATGATTCCTTTTCATGTTTCAATCTTGTTTGCATTATTATCCAATAATCCGTAGGATAATAAATTTTTCTTCAGGTTTTTCACGTGTCGGACATCTCAAACAACTTTAATTGTTCCATTATACATCTCAATCCTTGTTCTTGCGCTAATTTTCTTCTTGTAGAACAACAGCTGCAACGTCATCGAAGACTAGAATGGTGACATTACTGTTTGTCAAGTTGATGATGAGTTGATCATATGAATCCGGTAGACTTTGAAGTAGAAGTTCAGCACGTTTTTGTTCTCCTATTTTACAGCTTAAGGATGTAAGCTGAGAAAATAAAGTGTTCAGTGTATTTAAGTGTTCCGTCACTGAAGTAGATTCTGGCATACGGAGAGTGTACAATTTTCTCTTAAGGAAATTTTTATTTTGCAACGATGTGGCCTCGTACAGTTTGGTGAGATGATCTCAGATCTCCTTAGCTATCTTCTTCTCCTCGAAGCTTGACAATACTTCATCTGCTAATGCTAGATGAAAGTTTTCCATAGCATTCTCGTCCATCTCGATCCATTTGATGTCATCTGTGAAATCTACTAGCCTTTCACTGATAGCTACTAGACAACCGTCTTTCCTCAGGATGTCCTTCATCTTTAATTTCCACAATGAGAAATTTCTCCCATTGAACTTTTCAATATCAAATTTCGTTGACATATCTACTATTACGGATAGTTCCCACTATTTCACTACCGTGAATAGTTCTCTGGAACCTTCAAAGAATGGGTAATACCTTCTTACTTTCTTATGTTGGAGGATACACCTTTTGGTGGCAATCACAAAGACAATAAGCAAATATTACACACTCAAATCTGGCTCTGATACCAATTGTTGCGGAAGACGGCTATCGGATAGAGCAAAAACGCAACTGATAATTTGAGAAAATAAAAATGAAAATAAAGAAGACACAAATTTTACGTGGAAAACCCCTAAATAATATAGGGTAAAAACCACGGGTAACGGTAGAAGAATTTCACTATGAGAAAATAGGAATTACAATTTCTCTCAATCTAACAAGGAAAAAACAATGATAATTCTCTCTTGATAAAAAGGAGAAAACAACTCTCAAGAAACTCTCTAAATTCTCTAGTATTGGGAGAAAGCTAGAATGATTTGGGATGGTTTTGAAACTAAATGGGTTAGGGTATTTATAGTTGAAGCTTAAGGACTAATATTATAAATACCCTAAAGTTCAGTGACAAAATTGGCTTAATAATTTTTTTTCAAAGCCGCATGCTGTTATCTAGCAGCCCATGTGTTTTTGATTTTTCAACATAGTTGCGGTAAACTTTTACTTGGCATATATAAGAGTATAAATCAACGTATCGTTCAACGAAAAGTTTGTGAATTATTTGTATAGTGTTCGTATATGTTCATTTATTAGACTAAATAAACAAATGTGAATAAATTTTTTATGTTTATATTTAATAAACGAATGAACACAAATAGAGATGTGTTCGTTTTTATTCACAAACAAGCTCATTTAAAAGTTCGTTTATCAACTCGTTATAAGTTCATTTACTCGGTTCTAATTTTCTTTTTATTCTTTTACGTTTTAAATATTGATGAATATAGGGACTAAATTGAGCATAAGGTAAACTTTTAAATTCAAATTATTAATCCTCAAGAAATTAAGAACTAGTAGAGTAATATCACTTTTTTTTGTTGCAAATAAAAGATAAAAAGAGTTTTGGTTGTTGAACATTCAAGGAACGTTAAAAATATATGTTTGCAAATGTTAAAAGAACGGATATAAACATCTGTGTAATAAATAAACGAAAACGATACTAAAAATTTAAGCAAACACAAACAAAATATAAACGCTTTAAAAAATAAACAAATGAAGCAAGAATGTGATTTTACATGTTCAAATTTGATTCATTTACACTCCTAAGCATATTAATATTTTGTTGATCAAGTAAAATATCCATGTATTTAGATTAAGAACATATTATAGAATTAAAAGCAAATGCACTGCAATCATGAAAATCCATTGCGAAAATTCTAATCGATTTGTTTCTCTATATTAACTATTTTTATATAAAGCAACAAAAAAGGTGGAACACAGAATTTATAAACCAATTAAAAGGGCAATGAAATCAGTAACGAGAGCATCATTATTTAGTAATTAACATTCTGATTTGATTCCGTCTCATAGAGCATTGAACATAAGAAAATTGAAAGCAATGCAACCAGAGCCCAATTACTTGAAGAACTCCATGACCCACAACCTACAAACACAACACTCATATCGTATGCCACTAAATCCAGCTTTAGTTGCCAATGCTTGGAATTCATGTCTGGTTCGCTCTTTTCCTCCTGGATTCTGTGTCATCATCAGTACATCCCCCTGGGAAATGCATCTCACTTGAGCACTAGTCTCGGGTTGATCCGGAAGCACGGCATCAACCACTATAACCTTTCCCTTCTCCGGAATCGCATTGTAACAATTCTTCAATAGTTTTAAACAATGGTCGTCGCTCCAATCGTGAAGAATGAACTATCAAATTTGCAAGTTTTGTCATCAGTTTCTTACCAAAAATTAACACTCACATTTTCAAAAAAATTAAGCTGTAACTATTTAGATAATGAAATACACTCGAAATTTCATCTTATTCGTTCGTGCCATTATGATCTTTTGAATTAAAAATAGTCTATTAATTAATTATTATTATAAAAATATATATTTTTAAAATAAATAATGATTAATATTACCATTTTATCATAAAATAGTATAATATGTTACCTTCATAAAAATTGCATCCCCTTTGGGAACATTTTGGAACATATCCCCGACTACATGTTCAACACCTGTGGATAAAAGAATCATTTTAATTATCCATAGTTAGAACTGTTCAAGAATTAAATTATTTATCTAAACATAAATTTTAGACGATTTATGAGTTTGAAACTTGAATTATTATTTTTATAAATATTAATAGATTTATGTAAAATTTGAGGTCATAGTTGGGATTAAATTGGACTTGAACAATCATAAATTATATTAATATCATGTAATAACTCGATCAGTTCTCTAGTGAAGATTTAAAAAATAATAATAAAAATGATTCTATTTATTTCTTACTTTTTAATTAATTTCAAAAATAAAGCGTCAAGGAAGAAACTTTTTTTTCAAACTAATTCTCATCATTCTATAAACTGAAATTAAAAAAAAATGCAAAACATGGACAAGAGGGAGTTTTTGATTGTTTACCGGGGATGGGCGGGGCATGTTGAATAACATGAGGCAAATCATAGTTAATTCCCTTGATTGAGGGATACTTGGAAGTGATGAAGCTGAGGGCCACTCCGAGCCCGCCGCCGACATCCACGATCACTTGGTCGAGGTGGTCGGCGAATCCCTTGTAGACGTTCAGGATGTTCTTCATTACCAAAGTGGTGTTATTCTTCATGGCAGTATTGAAAACTTGGTTGAATCTGGGATCTTTGGCAGGGTATTCAAATGCGTTCATTCCATGAACTCTATTGAATGGAATTCCTCCTTCTTGAATCGCATCCTTCAGCTGCGACCTACCCATCATTGAATTTCCATGCCAGATTTAGGTAAACCATATCTTCTTGGCAGTATTGAAAAATGTTTAAAATAGACAAATAGAAAACGAGAGGGATGAAACACAGACCAACTATCAAGGAAAACCTTATCTTGAAGCAAGGCCATCACGGGAGCTAATGAAACTCCATCTTCATTCCGTACAAAGAATCTGGAGACGGGCGTCAAAGCATAGTCTCTCTGAGGATTACCCTCCTCATCAGCATCGTCGACCATGGAGCAACCAACGATACCATGGCTGGCTAGGACTCGAAGTATGCGGTCCAGCATGGAGGGTGCCTCTGGATTCGTGGTGGGTAACTGGGCAGCTATCTCCTTCGGGGAGAGCTTGGCATCCGGACCAGCTTTGGCAATGATCTCGAATATGTCCAGCTGAATTGCAGCGTGCATAGACATGGGCAACACGCAAGATCTCGCGATCTGGGAAGCATATGCGAAGCTTTCTTCATCATGCTCCCAATTCTTATTGTTGCCTTCAATTTGGTTTACTGCTGAAGATTCCATTGCAGACCAAACCCTTCTTCTCCTCTCAATCAAACTTTGATTGAATAAAAGTTGAGGATAATATAGAATAGATGGGAAAGAATAAAGACAAAGTACGAGACAACAGACTGTAGAGAAACAAACTATATTTTATTTTTATGGATTTATAATCACAATAATATTTGTGACAGAGTACATTTATTATATAATTCGCTTAATCTAACATTTAAAATAAGTAATTAAATTTTGTAAATCAATTTATCTTAGTGATTAAAGGAATCGTTGTTGCTCCTAAAGGTCATGAGTTCGAGCATCAACGACTGCAAGGGAGATTAAGCATTCATCGTCAAATAATTGAGAGTATTTAGAACATATACTACTTTGTCCTTTAACTTAATCAAAAAAATAAGTAATTAAATTTATGGGTAAAGAGGGTGTTTTTATCTATTGAGCTCTTGAGTTCGAATAATCTTAAAAATTTAATTTTAATCTTGAATAGTCTATCTATTTTTTTTATTTAAATTAAAAATTTAATTTTAATCTTTAATAGTCTATCTATTTTTTTATTTAAAAGAAACTCAAATAATGATAAACGCTCCAATAATGAAAATCCACTTATAAAAATCAAGATTTAAATTCACACAAAATAAGATAATACTCGACCAATTAATAAAGTTTACGAAAATATCATTATTAAATAATTAATATTTGGATTTGACCCCCTCTCATAGAGCTTTGAACATAAGCTACTGGAAAACAATTCATTGAGAGCCCAATTACTTGAAGAACTCCATGACCCACAAACTACAAACATAACACTCGTATCTTATGCAACTAAACCCAGCTTTAGTTGCTAATGCTTGGAATTCATGTCTGGTCCGTTCTTTTCCTCCTGGATTTTGTGTCATCATCACTGCGTCCACCTGGGAAATGCATCTCACTTGAGCATTAGTCTCGGGTAGAACAGGAAGGACAGCATCAACCACTATAACCTTTCCGTTATCAGGGATTGCATTGTAACAATTCTTCAATAATTTCAAACAATGATCGTCACTCCAATCATGAAGAATGAACTATCAAATTTGAAAGTTTTCTCATCAGTTTCTTACCAAAAAACTAGCAGCTACATTTTTAAACAAAACAAAAGTAAACGAACCCAAAGCTGAAACTATTTAGATAGCGAAATGAACTCGAATTTGATCTTATTCACTAATGCCATTATGATTTCTTAAGCAAAAAAAAAATCTAATAATTAATAAATATTCTGAAAAGAGATCTTTTAATTAAAACAATGATTAGTATTACCATTAACCACAAAACAGTATAATATGTTACCTTCATAAAAATTGCATCCCCTTTGGGAACATTTTGGAACATATCCCCGGCTACATGTTCAACACCTGTGGCACTTCGATTATCCATAGTTAGAGCTGCTCAAGAATTATATTATTTGTCGTAACTTAAAGCTCATATAATTTATAAGTTTGAAGCTTGAATTAGTTTTTTCTCTCATAAATATGAATAGATTTATGTAAAATTTAATATCATAGTTGAGATTAAGTTAGAGTTGAACAATCATAAATTATTTATCTTAACATTTTTTTTCAAAAACAAGACTGTAAGATTCTTATAATTCTATAAATTGAAATTTTGAAAAAATGCAAAATAACGTGGAGAAGAAGGGGTTTGTGATTGTTACCGGGGATGGGCGGGGCATGTTGAATAACATGAGGCAAGTCATAGTTAATTCCCTTGATTGAGGGATACTTGGAAGTGATGAAGCTGAGGGACACTCCGAGCCCGCCGCCAACATCCACGATTACCTGGCCGAGGTGGTCGGCGAATCCCGTGTAGGCGTTCAGGATGTTCCTCATTACCATAGTGGTGTGATTCTTCATTGCGGTATTGAAAACTTGGTTGAATCTGGGATCTTTGGCAGTGTATTCAAATGCGTTCATTCCATGCACTCTGTTAAATGGAATTCCTCCTTCCAGAATTGCATCCTTCAGCTGCGACCTACACATCATTGAATTTTCATGCCAGATTGTTAAAGTGTAATAAACCTCATGGGACGGAATTGAGCTACTAAAACATTCCAACTTAAAATGAATCAGAGATGTTTATGTGTCAGAATAGAAATACCATGTCAACAAGTCCGGAATTAATTTTTAGCCCTGCTTCTAATGTTATTACCGAGCTAGTAGTTTCATTTATCTATATATACTTATCTCACCAATTAAAGAAAATATCATTCATATGATAAATTTATATTAAATTTAATTCAAATTAGTTGAATAATAAATTAAATAGTATTATATTTTTAAATATGCAAATATATAATAACTGTGCCTGTTATAATGAGAAAAAAATGCTTAAAATATTAAAAAGGAAACGAGAGGGATGCTACACATACCAACTATCAAGGAAGACCTTATCTTGATGCAAGGCCATCACTGGAGCTAATGAAACCCCATCTTCATTCCGAACAAAGAATCTGGAGACCGGCGTCAAAGCATACAGTCTCTGAGGATTGCCCTCCTCATCAGCATCTTCGGCCATGGAGCAACCGACGATACCATGGGTGGCTAGGAGTCTAAGCATCCGGTCCAGCATGGAGGCCGCCTCTGGATTCGTGGTGGGTAAATGGGCTGCTATATCCTTTGGGGAGAGCTTGGCATCCGGACCAGCTTTGGCTATGATCTCGAATATGTCCATCTGAATTGCTGCGTGCATAGACATGGACATCGCACAAGAGTTGGCGATCTGTCCAGCATATGCGAAGCTTTCTTCATCATGCTCCCAGTTCTTATTGTTGCCTTCAATTTGGTTTTCTGCTGAAGATTCCATTGCAGAGCAAAGATTTTTTCTTCTCTCAATCAAAGTAGAGAAGAATATAGAATAGGGAGAGAAAGAATAAAGGGAAAGTAGGAGATAACAGACCGTAGAGAAAGAAAAAGACAAAGTAGGAGACAACTATATTGCAGATAAACAAATTATATTTTATTTTCTATTGGATTTATTATCACAATAGTTTTCGTGACAGATTATATTTATTATATAATTCACTTGATCTAACACTTAAAATGTCATCAAACTTATGATACAATAATAAATAATTTAAATTTAAATTTAAATTTCTATCTTATAATTTAAAACTGGAATTGCAATGTAATTTACCATTCACTCCCTATCTTGTACGTGAGCAATATTTTAGCAAAATATATAGATCGAAATATCGGATGCACTGAATTTCTTCTTGTAGTAAGTGAATAAAGTAAATTACAACTAAATAGTTGGATGATTTAATTAATAAAATTTTAAAAAAAATAATAAAATAAAATAAAAACAATAATTAGATAATCAATGATATAATTTATTCTATTTTAAATGACAGAAAATAAAAACAAATAAATCATATAATATATTAAAAAATTGGGTTTGGGCCTTTATTTGCCCAATTCGAAACTCAAGACCCGATTTTGTTTTACCATGCAATTTTACTTAAATTATTGGGTAAAGTACACAAATTAACCCTCAATTATAGGGAGCTATTTATTTTTTGGATAAATCATTTTTATTATCCAAAGAGCAAAATTGCTACAAAAAACAGTAAGTTCTTACAAAAAGGATCAAGAACTTACAATCAATATTTACAACAAAACAAACTTCAATAATCTATACCCCATTGATTACAAAGTGTGATATTAACACTATCATTCCTATTAATGCTTCTACCCCGTAATTGGATAGCAATTGTATCTTGAATGGCATGGAACATGGCATCAAAAGATCTTGAGCAGCCTGTAAATAGTCTTTTGTTCCTCTCTTCCCATATTGTGTAAGTAAAAGTAGTCCAAGCTAGCTTCATGATAGTAGTGAGCAAGGATTTACCTTTCCATGAAGTACAAGCCCAAGATAAGTGATCATCCCAAGAGCATGACCTCTTCGAAAGCCATTAAGGTTCAAAACAACATCCCATAATGAACTAGACAAAGCACAATGAAGAAATAAGCGATCTATAGTTTCCAAAGAGCCATTGCAAAGCATACATTTATCATCAATCTCAAATCTCATTCGAATCAACCTATCTTTAGTTGGAAGCCTATTTAACAAAGCCATCCAAGTAATAATGCTAAACTTAGGGATATGAAGTGGAAACCATATTAACTTGTGCCAAGTGACTTTTTCCTCTCTATTTCTAATTTGTAGCCAAATATTCTTTATCGTGTTAGCTCCCGAAGAAAGAACAGTGGAAGCTTGAAGCCTCAGATTAAGCAAGCATCGGAAGTTCCAGCTACTGTTAATTCCAATATCCATGTTCCAAAAATTAGAGTTTTTAATAATATAATTTTTAATCCATGCAATCCATAATGAACCTTCACCCGCAAGCACATTCCTAATCAATTGCATCATACAAGCTTTGTTCCAAGACTTAATATCTTTAAGTCCTAAGCCTCTTTCTAATTTTAAAAGGCAAAGCTTTCCCCAACTTACTCTTGCACTAGATGTTGCCTTGTCCGAACCTTTCCAAAAAAAACTGTGCACATAATTGCTCAATTCTGTTAAGGACAGATTGGGGTAGTATTAGCTGCCTACACCAGAAATTGGTGATGCTAAGCAAAACAATTTTGATTATCTCTAATCTACCAGCATAGCTCAAGTGTCTTCTCGACCATTTGTGAAGACGTTCCCTAATATTATCAATAAGAGCTACACAATCTTTTTCCGAGAGTTTTCTAGAGACTATAGGAACTCCCAGGTATCTAACTGGTAAGCAGCCTTGATTGAACCCAGTAATTCGTTACTTTGTTGAGTTCCTCAACTATTAAAAGTTATAAAGGGAGTTATTTTTTTGAATCCTCTAACTATTAAAAATTACAGATAGTTTTTCAACTATAGGATGTTGTTTTGTTGAGTTCCTCAACTATTAAAAGTTATAAAATAGTCATCCAACTATTCATATGTTCCAAACTCATCTTTTTCTATTAAAAAATTGGCAATTGTCTAGATGTTAACATGTTGATTAGAATAAAAAAAATCTGATCCCATAACAATTGGAGCTA